TATAGACGCTTTCAAAACGTTTTGGGTATCTCGCACTTCTCTGCCTCCGACGACACTTCTTCCTCTCGGTGGTTTAGTAGGACCCCAACCGATTGCCTTAGGGCAGCCTTCGATTGTACCTACGCGTAGAACCTTTAGAGATTGGTTTTTTGCTTGCTGAGCGATCCTCATTTCACGGATTGATGGAGACCTAATGTCTAAGGCTAGGACTTGTACGCTCGTGATAAAATAAGTTAGCCAAAATTAAGCCATTTACCTATACAGCTAGCTTTTTGCTCGGTGGTGTAGATCCCAATCAGTGGCGATAAGGGTAATAGAAAAATTTAGGATAAAGGCTAAAATATAAGTATAAATGGTCAGTAACCGTAATTCGTAAACAAACGTCTCCGAGTCGATTGAGTTTCCAATCAACCCCTATGTTCATTAGCCGAATATGGAGTCAAAGTGCTTCGAGTTGATCATGTTGCCAATGAACCCAAATGTCCGTTAGTCGATGTATTCAGTTTTGGTTCATTCTGCTCCGAGTGCTGATTGCGTTTGTGAATTCGGTATTTCTTATTAAAGCATCAAATCATCACAGTTGTGCTCAAAATGTTTCGGTCAACTTGAATAGCCAAAAATTCAGGATTATGTGTCATTTTGGTTATATTATAGAAACTATTCGTTTTGATGTATCGAAATTCTAGAGAGATAGACGCAAACGTGAGGGGTATATTTGTGAGGAAAAAGAAGAGTATAAAATTAGAGACCAAAGTTTCCATGATAAGCGCCAGCGATAAGGAATTTAATAGTTCGTCTCAATAAGCGGGAAAAAGGGGAAGGTTGTAAATACAATAGGCCAATAAAACGTAACATTTTCTTGAAGTCAACCAATTACATGTTGACCACCAGGAACATTGCATAGGACCGCTTCTAAAAGGCAGATATTTCTGACGTCTCTTCTGAACGATCCATTGGTGGCTTTTATCTTCACTTCTCTCACGATTCCATCCTTGATGTTTCTGATTTGTTGTATAAAGCCCAAAGGCCACTCATTTATGGGTTTATTTCCCTTTACTGCTAATTCCAAATCTCCCGATCTGAAGTCCCTCTGTCTTATATACCACTTGGATCTGATTTGAAGAAATGGCAAGTATTCTCTCGTCCACCGCTTCCAGAAGCAATCTGCGATATCCTGCACTTCACGCTATCTACTTTTATAACGGTCTATTGTGGTTTTCACCTCAGAACTCAGATTGCCGCCCTATATCGAGCAACACCTGTAGCGTGAGTGCTTTACAAGCTTGTGGATCGACTTTTTGCGGAACGAATGGTCTATTATTCATTATCCGTTCAGCCTCTACGAGGGCTGTGAGAAACGCTTTGTCCGTCGCCTTTTTTGCGCTGAGGAGTGCCCTCAGTATTCACTTTATAATCTTAATTAGCCCTCCCCAAACTTTCCTTCGATGATTGGTACCAGAAGGGTTAAAGTGCTACTGTACAGCGTCCTCTAGGAGATGATTATGTATTCTATCCTGAGTTTAAGAACGCAAAGGAGTCCTCAGTTCATTGGTCTCTGCAACAAAATTCGATCCAGTATCACTGAATATGTGTTCTGGTTTGCCTCTGCGAGCTATGAATCGGTCTAGGGTCATGATGAATGATTCCGTTGCGTATAAGTACGCTACCTCTAGAGGTACTGCTCTCATGGTCATGCAGGTGAAGATACATCCGTATTTTTTCTCCACGGACCGTCCCCGCTTGACATAAAATCGCCCAAAGTAGTTAAGACCAATCGAGTGGAATGGCCACAGTTGGCTGCTCATTATATTTATAGGCACTGGAACAGCTGGCTGACATCCTGACTCATCCAGTTGCCTACAATAGTGAACGCATTTGCTCAGAACTCTCTATACTGCTGTACCATACTTGATTATC